ACGCATTTTCGCCTCTTCGACGGAGCCTCCAACGTCCCTCTGCAAACAACAATATATACAAATCTCTGTATCTATTTCCACCTTTTCTCTCTTGATCTGGGAACAGTGACAAAAATGCAGAGCTCAGCTATTTCATTCTCACCATCTCTTTCACTCTCTACCCGTCCCCGCAAGCTTCCTGTTCAAGGGTTCAAACCCCTTTCTGTCCCGTCCCCGGTAAGCGGCCGTTTTAGATATGGTTCCGCCGTTTTTTCGCCGTCCGGAAAGAGGAGCCCGATTAGCTGCTCCCTGAAGCAGAGCGGGTGGTTTCCCGGGATTCCGGAGCCCGAATCTGACCGGGTTGTGCCTCGGGCCTCGTCGGAGAGCGTGGGTCCGGAGGAGAGCCCGAAATCGAAGGGCATGAGGGATACTTTGGTGCTCGGGACGCTTTTCGGGCTTTGGTACCTGTTTAATATCTACTTCAATATCTACAACAAGCAGGTAGATTTTTCCTTATTCTTCTTTCTTTTGCGTTTTCGTTTTATTTTACGGTGATCGAATGGCATTTTTTGTTTTTTGTTATTCTTAAGTTGCTGAAGTGTTGATTTTTTTAGATATATATTCATATCTTGTTTATTTATGTAGATGTAAACAAGTATCCTTTTTTTTTTCAATGATTTGTAGGTTGGTTGTGCTTTATTACTTGAATTACTTTGTTTCCTTGACGGAATTTTTAGTTCGGAGATCTGATTCAAAAAGCTGTATTATGTCAGGATTTGCTTATTGTCTTTTATTTTTTCCGGGGATGTTTTTATGTTTTTTTAAGATTTTCACATATCTAAACTTTTTGCCATCTTTGTATGATCTCAAGCATTTAGAATGTGCTATTTGAATGAAAGATGCTGATTCAAGGTTCCCTTAGGTTTCAATCCTATGTTTACAAATTTTGTTTAATTGGTATATAGATTTGTTTTTGCTTCTGAATTAAGAAGAAATGAAAAAAGAAAGAACAAGTATAGGTTATGGTGATTTAATTGAAGTTTCTCACTATCGTATATAGTTAATCAACTAATTTTCATAAATAAAGGAATACTGTGAGACACTGTATGTTTAGATGCCCATTTCAGATTTAATGAATTTTTGTTTGCTTGTTAACAATGTGTTTGCTATAACATCTCTTGAGAGTATTAATATATGACTTTTCTGTTTTTCCATAATAGGTTCTAAAAGCTTTTCACTACCCAATGACTGTCACTCTTGTCCAATTTGCTGTCGGTAGTGTGCTTGTGACTCTAATGTGGACATTAAACCTCTACAAACGTCCTAAAATCAGTGGAGCACAGGTACTCGGTTACTTAAGATGTGTGAAAAAGTCGACTTAATTTGGTTTATTTATCATGGGAATTGAATAATAGTATTTCAATAATTTCTGGCAGCTTGTTGCTATTCTTCCATTGGCATTGGTGCATACCTTAGGCAACCTCTTCACAAACATGAGTCTTGGGAAAGTTGCTGTTTCGTTCACTCACACGATTAAAGCTATGGAGCCTTTCTTTTCAGTTGTTCTATCTGCCATGTTTCTCGGGGAGGTGAATAAATAATCCACGTGCTTTCTTTCTTGTCTTTTGGGTTTGTTAGCTTGCAGTGTAGAAGAATTGTAGGGAGCTTCTAAAGTTTATAACTTTCTGATATTGAATAATTCATTTGAAGTAGGCTCGTACATACTTTTCTTTCCTTTTGCTAAAAATGTTTCCGAGTCAAATTCGTTATTGAAACTGCTAACTTTGGTGATTTAATTTTTCAGGAAAAAATTTAACGATGACATAATTATTGTCCCTATTCTGTTATGAAACTGCTTATGTTGCAATGGAACAGTTATCTTGTGACAAAATATTATGTTTAGGGTTGAATTAAAAAAAATGCCACTGATTTTTAATCTAGTTGCATAATACCCAGCAATCTTTCATATTACGGGCAACTCCTTGTATTCATTTTACTGTTTACCAAATCTTTCATAAGATACTTTGTTTTCATTGTAACTATGCTAAACACAACGGATTTTTTTTGTTCTACAAATGACTTTAAGTTTTTGTGCCTACTCTGGAATTTATTTATTTATTTTTCTTAATCAATATCCCTCTTTGGTGTAGTTTCCTACACTATGGGTAGTTTCTTCTCTTCTGCCAATTGTTGGTGGAGTAGCTTTGGCATCAATGACTGAGGCCTCTTTCAATTGGTAAAGAACCACAACATACTGCTTTCAGTTAGATTGATGCTATTTTAAAATGTTTGCCAACAGCTGCCCATTTCAAGATTACCTCGTGGAATTTATATTATTATTTTTTTTTTATTTAAAGGGCTGGTTTTTGGAGTGCCATGGCATCAAATTTGACAAATCAATCACGAAATGTCCTTAGCAAAAAGTTCATGGTCAAGAAAGAGGTAAATTTTTTATATCTTTTCCAACTGGTTTTTATCTTTGCTGATTTTGGAGGATATCGTGTTTTTCTGGAAATTTGTGAACCTTAGGATTTAATCAATTCTTGTGGGAGATCTGTTTAGTACTAAATTTAGTACTGTACTGAGCACTGAGCAGACAAGGAAATAGTCAACATATTTTTCTTTTAATTGTCTTTTAGAAATTTGTGCTTCAATTTTGAAAGTTTTTACAGGAGTCACTAGACAACATTACTCTCTTCTCGATAATTACTATCATGTCCTTCTTTCTGATGGCCCCTACTGCCATTTTCATGGAAGGCATCAAGTTTACACCCTCATATCTTCAGGCTGCTGTAAGTAAATCTGAAACTTAGAAACTGCTTTTTATTTATATAATTACTTTAGTCTTCCTTAAAACTATTTTCCATTTGTTTCCTTGATTAAAAAATTAATATATAGCTTTTAATTTTATTTTCCCTGTTGCCAGGGAGTGAATGTCAACCAACTTTACACCAGATCACTCCTAGCTGCCCTCTGTTTCCATGCGTATCAGCAGGTAAGCAGTAAAGTTTTCGATATTTTCTCCGTTCAGAAGGATTTTGCATTAGCATTTGCTATGATTTTATTCGTGGCAGAAATTGTGTTTATTGCTGAACATGAATAACCGGACGTATGTAAATATTTTCATTTTCTGTTTAAATGACCATACATTTCGTGAACATAGCTTTGACCACATGTAACTAGATGTATGCATATTATTTCCATTTTCTATTTTGCCAAAATGATTTGTGATCCGAGTTGTTTGGACAGGTCTCTTACATGATATTGCAGCGTGTATCCCCTGTTACTCACTCTGTGGGCAACTGTGTTAAGCGGGTTGTGGTGATTGTCACATCTGT